TTTCTGACATTATTTAAAACATTAGATAGATTATATAAACTGTAAAATATTAATAATAATTGGATTGATATTATTATTAATAGTTTTTTATGATTTATACATCATCAGTCCTTTTTTTTCTGCTCTGTTGTCAACATTTACAGTAATGGGAAATCCAGACTCTTGACCGTTTAGCGTTAGCCGTTAGCTTCACCAGCCAATCACACGGTAACCTGGTTTCTGAGCTCCAGCTGTTCTATAGAACCTCCTTGGACAGACTTCCACTGATGTTATGGCTGTGTCCAAAACGGTGGGCTGGGTCCTCCCCCCAATCAGTACCACTGCACCCCCCACTTTGGGAACCTCTAGTTTAGACAACTTTGATCTACTAATTTACACTGTAATTTTGTTTTACACTAACATTTTGTAAGAAAATAAGAGTTCTGCTGAAAGTGAGCCCAGGCTGCACTGGAAGTGCTACAGCTTCTTGCCGATGCCACGTTTTGAACTTAGAAACAAACGGACTAACAGCAGCAATCCACTTTGGTTTAAGCTGCGTTCAGACTAGCCATTTGCTCGTCAGTCCTGTCAGAATTAAACTCTGTTTCTCCAACCTGACCACTCCACACAACAACAGCAGGTAAGATATTTGTTGTCAGAACCCCACTTTAGCGTTTTTTTATCGTTCTGTCTTGTGTTTGGCTCCTGGCAGGATGCACTGAGCGCGTACGACTTCCTGAAGAGGAACAGCGAGGTCATGGAGCCCGACATGGACGGGCTGCTGCAGCCAGAGTTCCGTCACCCAGACCCAGAGCTCACCTCCATCCTGAAAGATACAGAAATAAGGTGGAAGAGACGTGTGCTCGTCATGTTAAACTTTAAAGTTTGTGACAGAGAGAGAAGAAAATGCTGCAGGTTTTATCTCTAACCTGTGGTACTGGCCAGCTGCCAGCTTTGTTACTGTTTATTTTCCACCTCTGTTGGTTTTCATGCTGTGACATGCAGCTTACATGTTAGTGTGAACGCTGCCCCCTGGCTGTGTCTGACTGAACTGCACCCACCATCTCTCTCCAGGGAAGAGGAACAGTTCCACTTCAGTCTCCAGGACTTCAGATGTGTGGCAGTTCTTGGACGAGGTCACTTTGGAAAGGTGCTTCAAAGCTGGAATTATTCTCCTGATCATCTATAATCTCAGATTAGATGAGCTGGATATGACAGTTGTTAAACATATTTAGTTTGGATCAGCACACTGAGTCTTCTTCAACCCTCTCTACAGGTGCTGTTATCAGAGTATAAAACCACAGGGGAGATGTTTGCCATCAAAGCCTTGAAGAAAGGAGATATTGTGGCTCGAGATGAGGTGGACAGGTACGTGTTGACAGCTCTGCTCAGAACCATCCGTCTCATTGACTGCAGCGAACTGTAAATGAGTTAAATAGGAATGATATAAAGATGTAAAACTTGGAATCCACTGTGATTGCTAATCCTTCAGAGTGGTTTCTTGACGCTGACTGACTGGGTGTGTGACCTATAGCCACTCGTTGGTGGCCTCGGTGGATCCGTCAGTCAGTGGAGTCTCACCAAGGGGTGGATCCAGTCCGGTGTTGTTAACTAACACATAACATATGTTAGTATCAGAACACTCTTGGGTGTCAAACGGGGCACGACATAACCAGAGACTTCCACACCGACCCCTGGTCATCGGGATTTGAACCGGCCATGTACAGAACATTACGCCTCACTGCCTGCCACATGCAGGTCTGTATTGCCCTCATTGATGGAAATAAAACCATGCTAATTCTTCCTCTGGATGTTATCCACCAACACTGACAGGCTCCACACTTACAGTTAATGAGATAAGATCAGAGATGGTTCTGGACTGCTGGGATTTGGGGGCAGCTTTGCTCCGGTGGTAAGGAGGGTCCTATTGGATGATAGGGCCTTTGGGCTTTCTAAGGTCACTTGGCTGTGGCGGCCATCTTGAATTGTGTTGACCTCCAAAGTTCATCAGTTACAGATTAGGGGTGTAAATCACCAACTTTATCACGATACAATATTACATCGACATGTTTGGATGATGATTTGATATTTCTGGATATCAYAAAGTCTGTCACAATACGATTTCGATTCAGTTCACATGTCTGCAATCTACAGTGGTTTGCAAAAGTATTCATACCCCTTGAACTTTTCCATATTTTGTCACATTACAACCACAAACATAAATATATTTC